TGGTAGCCCAGGCTGGCCTCGAACTCACAAAGATCCGCCTGCCTCTGCCTCCCGAGTGCTGGGATTAAAGGCGTGCGCCACCACCGCCCGGCTTGCCATGTTAATTCTTAAGATGCCTCTGAGTCTTCTTTCCACGGATCTGCATGAACCCACACATCCGTACCATGACAATCCATGGCATCCTCCCGTACAGAGCACTGGGATTATAGGCTGTGCCACCGTGCCCAGGTCCACTGCTCTTTTTCACTTCATTCTTGGATATCCTCAGACTTGATGTCACTCCTCTCCTCCCTTACTGGGCTGTAGTCCAAGCCAGGGACAGATTTATATTGTTATAGGCAGCGCCTTCCCTAGAGATGACTGCTGGGATGCTGGGGGTCTTTTGTGGGAACTCGTCTTTAGGCTTCATGAAGAACTTGGCAGAGCAATGCCTGTCTGCCTCACTGCCTTCAGCCTAGTACTTAGGCGGCTAGAATTTCTGGCAAGTATTTAGAAAATACTTAGTGCTCTCCAAAGTAAAGGTAAAATTAAAGGATGGAAACGGGAGAGATAAACGACTTAAACACAGAATGGCACAATGAAATACCATGGTGGAGCATAAAGATGAGAAGCTTTGGCTCTAGGCGAGTTCAAATCTCAAGTCTTTGAGTACCCTTCAGGTTCCACAGCTGTAAAGGGAAGAGGTAATAATGTCATGCCTTGTAAGGAGGGGGAGTGAAATTAGGACGGCACAACAGAAAAATACTTTCTATTCCGCTACCACAAAGTCTTCATGCAAACAAAGATGGCAAAACAAGACAGAACTCGAACGGTGGGTGGGTGCTTGCCACACAAGCCTGCTGGTGAGTTCAGCTGCTGGAACCCACTAATGACGGAAGAACTCCACAGCAGAGCCACAGAACTCCTGTCCCCCCGCCCCACACACACACCACACACGTAAGTGAAACGACAGTATGGGGCAAATCTATATACTAATACCAGTTCCCACTCACCCTAACACTGGCGGCGGCCTGAGGCGTGGACTCAACAAACAGTACCAGTTTCCAGAAGCAGCAGCCGTGACCACATCCACTGCAGTGTTGCTGCTGTAGCCCAGGCAAGACAACCACTACTGCCACCATATCCTGCCTTGATCCAGGGCAGGGAAGCAGGCAGTTCCTAAAGAAATACTGACCTAGGTTACATGGGCCCATAGCACTAGGGAGACTCGGAAAGCAGAGGAGAGTCAGGCGCTTTGCAGAGAAGCTACACAAAATACTGTAATTTTATTATCAATCACAGATATATCATTATTTATGATATTTTACAATTATCTTTTTTTTTCCCTGGGGTGGTGCTGAGGATAAAAACACGGTCTCAGACATGCCAGGCAAGCACTCCATCACTGAGCTGCATCCCACGCCCCGGAACACTACTGTGTTTCATAGGAAACTGCATGTATTTCCATTAAATGTCAATGACGCATCTTAAGTGACACGTCACTGAGATAAGTTAAAGTGTACTTCACAGGAACAAAATGCAAGTGGCAGTTTAGTTCACCCATCCTTGGTGAGTCTGGAGCATGTGCTCACTGCATGCTGAAAGACAAGGGAATCACTCTCACAGACGTGCAGGGCCTGGTCTGTATGGAGATCGGTAGTAATTCCTGGCCCTGCTGCTGGCCACACTGCAGGATCAAACCTTCCCCGTCAGCCATTCTTCAGATAAGTGGTGCCAGTGGGCCACAAGCCAAGAGGCTGTACCGCTCAGCACTGTGGGTACTGTGTGCTCTTGAGTGCAAGGATTTTTTTGAATGCTTTCACTTCCAAAGACTGTCAGCCCTGAGAGGTTCAGAGAGGAAAGTGACTTTCTAGAGATGGTACCTAACATCAGCTGTCATTCTTCGAGACCAGGACAGCACTGTCTGTGTGTGAGGATTACCTCAGCAGGGAGATTGCTGTTCTCATCTTAGACTCACATTAAAACTCCCTCAGAAAAAAGGGGAATCAGAATTCCTACCTGGAATTACAGTTCTGGCCCTCGGGGGCTCTCACAGATGCTTCTGATAAAGAAGACTGCTCCCAACTTAACTAGCAGGAGCCTAAAGTTCAGTGTCTTCCAGAACTCCCTCATACAGTGACTTGCTGCCACGAAGAGAATGGTGGGCACAACCTGAATTTTCTAAAAATCAGACATGCCACAGTGAGTAGGGCATTAGCTATGTGTGGTAACTCATTTTGTTAACAAGGTTCCTACCCAGTGGGACTGGTACACTGTGGTGGGCCAGGCATGGCTCTTTCTGCTTGCTTTTAACGTCCTCAGCCCTGGCTGTGTGCACGCTTTCCGCACACCACGCCACTGAGCGACACCTCTAGTCCTGACACTGGTTTAGATTATATTATTAAATTGACTTGTGTTTGGGCACCTGAGGCATGCACAGGGGCCACAGTTCGTGTGTGGAGGTAAGAGGACAATTTGTGAGAGGTCTCTTCTCTCCTTGTCCCAGGTGGGTCCCCAGGATCACTCAGATTGCCAGGTGTGATAGCAAACCTCCTTACCTGGTGAACCATCTCTCAAGGCCCCTGACACTATTTCTGCTGAGAGTCTCTGGCACATCTTTTTAATATACTAAGAGAAAAACAGACTCTGCCTCCATCAGGCTGACCACCTGAAAAGCATTTGAGAAAATGTCTCTAACCCTTCCTTCCTCTAACTCCCGGCTTGTACTCTAGAACTCTAGGACATCTATCTCTTCAGAGCAAGGTGTGTGTGTGGGGGTGCTAAGGTCAGGCATTCTCATCAAAAGGCATCTTTGATGTTCTTGAGCTGGCGCACGGCCAAGTCTACAGGAAGACTGAACTTGAGGCTGCTGAGGCGGCTGAGCAAGTTGAGGGCGCTCTCGAAACCTGTGTGGGCCATGTAGCTCCAGGGCTGGTAATGGGGCTCGATGAGCGACCCTGACTTGCAGATGAGGTTTACCCAGGACACCAGGCGCTGCTCATTCAGTGCCATGCACACCAACGCCTTCAGCTCTGAGTCAGCACTGCGCTTGAAAGGGTCGTGCTCTGTCAGCACCAGGTGGATGGCCGTCAGAAGGCTTTGTTTGGGAGTCACAGCGGTGCCACCCATTACAGGAAGGGCGAAGGACTGCGAGAGCTTCCGGGCTGGGGATTCCACATACGCACGGCCATTCTTGGCATGATAGTACTTTACAAAGAGCTCCCAGGGGTGCATGGTCTCAGGGGCTGAGGAGAAGGCTGGCAGCAAACAAGCGATGGGGGCCATGACCAGGCTCATCCCAGAGGAGGAGGCGTACAGTCCATGCGCCAGCAGGTCCCTCACCGCCACCGTCAGCTCCTTCCGCACAGCCATGGTCAGCTCATCCTTGCCTCCTAGAGAGAGTTCCTGGAGGTTGGCTGAGGTGATGACATGGTCATGTGGCTGGTGTCTCAAGGCTAGCTGCTTCACTCTGTCTACTGACACTTCCAGCCTTTTCAGTAAGGGGGAGTAGTC